CAGTATACATGTCTGCTGCAATCTCCATTGTAAGGTTAAACAGTCCCTATGAGGTAGGAGGATCTTCCTGTGCCTAAATCCCACCTTCACCTCCTCCTTGTTAGGCAAAGGGTGGAATTTGGCTTAGCTGAAGTGCCTCTGTGCCACTCCCATGTCCACTTTAGTCATACCACGTAGGGCAGATTTCACCATTGTGAGTGGTAAGGCCCCCACCACCCAGTCTTGCTCTGTCAGATCTTGCACTGTGAATGGTGGCATTTGTGTCAGCTCATTCACCCAAGTTCTTTGGTAATCTGCTGGTTAGCTGTGTGCTGGAAGGGTACATGCTGTGTAAAGTAGTGCTTCCTCAAATTCGTTTTAAAATGTTCTCCTGCTAATTTCCACTTATGGCCACGAGTTCTAGTATTTAAACTAATATTGAAATAGCCATTTGGCTGAACAGCATGACATTCCTCTAAGACCAGGAATCATTCTCGTAGCCCTGTGTATGCAAGCCATAGTGGAGGAGAACAGGGGGTTAGGTTCAGGAGATTGTCCCTTCCTCACCTTGTGCCTGAGATATAAGATGTTACAAGACCGCATACTTGCTGATGAGATGAGATATTATTTGGGTAGGGGGCCACTTCATAGAATATATATAGGAAAAGAGACACCTGCCTGCATTTGGAGCTGCTCCCAGCAATCCCAGGATGCACTCCATCTTGGTTGTTTCCCCAGGATAGACGTTGGCTGTATCCGTGTGAATGGAAACATTGAAGGAGGGACCTAGTGATGAAAACCCAAAGAGAATGAAAGGTGCTTTGATCGACTGTAGTGTTAGCTGTAAAAGTAATTGTCTTCTAAAGACAGGTTCAGCCCTTAATGGTCACATTACTATAAGTGGCATTGATATGAGAATTGCATTCTACAGCTGTCACTGTACTATACTTAGGTTTGTGATCATTAAGCCTAATAATTTACCCTTCCAGCACACAGCTAACCAGCAGATTACCAAAGAACTTGTGTGAATGAGCTGACACAAATGCCACCATTCACAGTGCAAGATCTGACAGAGCAAGACTGGGTGGTGGGGGCCTTACCACTCACAATGGTGAAATCTGCCCTACGTGGTATGACTAAAGTGGACATGGGAGTGGCACAGAGGCACTTCAGCTAAGCCAAATTCCACCCTTTGCCTAACAAGGAGGAGGTGAAGGTGGGATTTAGGCACAGGAAGATCCTCCTACCTCATAGGGACTGTTTAACCTTACAATGGAGATTGCAGCAGACATGTATACTGAACAACAGAGGGACCTAGAACTAGTTCTAGGTGGCTAGGTGGCTTCCTCCTACTGGAGGAAGTTACCTGGGTCGTTAACTCGGAGTACAGATATGAACAGTAACAGATAAACGACAAACCTGGAGTGGCACCAGGTAAGTAATCCAGGAAGTCTGCCCTTCCAATAACAGGAGTGAAATTAAAGGCACATGAATGCAGACTTCAATTGAGACAGAGTCACCTGTGTCGGTGAAGGAAATCTGGACTCTGTTGGACGCTGCATTAACAGCCTTGCTCCAGGCCTTCCCCACATCACGAGTCCAAGCTGTCACATCACAGAAGTAGAATCCACGGTCGGACACCATAGCACCATATAATCTGAACCGAAACTCCTTGGGTCCAATCTTCTCCATAACCACACTGTCCAGACGATCGGGCTCACTCCACTCCTCTAGTTTCATGACCAAGTCTGGGCTCAGGGAAGCAATCTTCCGGGGCTGGCTTCTGATGGACTCCTCCATCCTGATCAGAACAGAGTACCCTGGGTCCAGCAAATGCTGTGAAATCACCTGACAGCTCATCTCAAACGTGGCCCCAGCTCTGGAGGCCTCTTTCAAACGACGGGCCACAACATAGAGCCTCGGGCCTGCAAAGAACCGAAAACAGCATTACTGTAGGGGAGTTCACAAACAGACATGAAGGCAGGACAAGATAAAACAGACACATAGGCACGGATAAGAAGGACAGGCAGCCAGAGACGCCAAACCTCCCTAGCCTGAAATAAATCTGGCGGCCAGAACCAGAAGCAATTTGGGATCAGTTAGAAGGAATTTGGTCAATGTTAGATCTGGGTGCAGAGCTCATTTCAAAATGCTACGGTAGGTACAGTCATGTTAAAGCTATCATGTTGAGATTCATTTATCTGAGCTGTAAACAGTAACTGGATTAGTAGCATAACACAGCATTAATGTCTCAGAAACCAGGAACTTGAAAGCTGGCTGAGCCACTACTAAGTGACCGATTAGATATTAACTGAAAGGTTCCAGGATTGTTCCAATGACACAACACACAATCTTAGGAGTGTCCAACAAAGAGCTTCAGACTACCATACATAACACTCTGACAGAAGGACGAGGGTCCAAGATCCGAAGAAAAAGAAGCTTTATAAGCTCATCCCCTCATTGCTATAAAATCCAGAAGGGAGAATGCCAGGAGAGGGTCAAAATAACTATGCAAAGTTTTTCAGAGCATAACAATTATCATTTATCATTATGATTTTGAGAAATCTGGCTTTTCTGTTGCTCATGGTTATTGTTAAAATAACGACCAACATTTGTATAATTAATGTCTTCTTAGCTTTTCTTTAATCAGATTTGGATTACAATTTAAAGTAGTGTTTAAATTGAGAAAAGTTGTAACATATAAACTTATATTCATTGTCAAAATGTGTAGTTCAGAAATATACGCAATTATCTCAAATGGAAAAGAGCAGCTGTAATATATTTAAGGAACATCTGATAGACAAACCAACTGAAACGAGTAAATGTTGTTCAGCTAGTAGTAAGGCCTGAGACTAAGCAGAATCTTGAGAAGGCAGAAGCACAAAGAGAGACACTTACTTTTGCTTTCCCATTTGATGCTTAACTTCTCAGAGCGGACCTCCTGGTTTTTGGCCCATCCCCCATTCCGAACACGGGTCCAGACTGAGACTGCACAGTGGTATGTTCCTTGGTCTGAGTCTTGCATCTGCTGGAAGTGCAGCCTGAAATTGCGTGGTTTGACTTTTGATAGAACTATATGCCCTTGCTCCAACAGGGGGCGGTAGTCATCCCACAGCACCAGGTCGCCTTGCTCGTCTATGGCAGCGATGGGCTGAGGTGCTATGCCTGTGTCAGCACCAGAATGGTGGTACCAAGTGACACCCAGCTGAGCATCAGCTGGAGGAGGTTCACCATTCATCTGGCACACCAGCACCATGGGCTGACCCAGGATCTGCGGTGTCATGGGACTGCTCAAGGTCACATTGAAATTTGCTTCTGTCAGTAAAAGAAAGCCGAAATAAATGGACACAACAGTCAGAGTATAAACACCACAACAGTTAAAACAAGACTGTCAGTACATACACACACCAACATGAACTCTGCATTCATACACGGTGTCAGGTCATCAAGAGTAATTCAAAGAAAAGCCAAAGAACACCCAAAGCAGTGCAGATGGATGTTGCTATGGTGAGCAATGGTGAGTCCTCACTCTTAGTTATCAGTCCAAGGTAGACTCTGTTGTCAACTACAGTGCCTTGCAAAAGTATTCACCCTCCTTGGCATTTTTCCATGTTCTGTTGCCTCACAACCTGGAATTAAAATGTTTCTTAATCTTAAAAAGTTGGTGAAGTGAAATGAGAAAAAGAATATATAAAAAAGAATTAAAAAAAAATGTAAAACTGATAATTGGAATGTGCATATTGTCATAACCTGCGCATACAATTCTTGTGTGTGCCACGCCCCCTGATCAACCACATGTGCTCCCCTGATTGTGCCCAGCTGTTTCCCATCAGTCTATGTTCTGTGTATTTAGTCCATGTCTGAGTCCGTTTTCCCCAGATCCGTCATTAATGTTACTTTGTTGCTGCCCCGTACTTCCCTGGTTTCCCCGTAAATAAACCCTTGTGTCCTGGATCTTCACCTGCCTGCCTCGTCCTTACCCGCTTCCTGCCTGCTCGCCGGACAGTGGTCATAACAGAATGACTGAGCCGTCCGTCCTCCCGGAGACGGTCCAACCTCCGCTGACAGCCAATACCCGGAGAAAAAAAGAAGAAGCGAAAAGAGAAGAAACCAGCGGAAGAACCAACGATCTTCCTGGGGTCCGTCTCTCTTTCTCCAGCTTCTCTCCCTGCCGGTCCCCTGCTGGTCCCGAGGCGCCTGCTGCGGCCCTGCCTCCTTCTGCGCTCAAGCTCCCTGCTGCGGCTGCTGCTCCGCCCGAGGTCCCGGCTCAGCCTGCTGCTGCACCCGGGCCTTCTGCTACAGCCCCACCTCTTCCTGCTGCTGGTGCTTCCGAGGACCCGCCTCTGCCTGCTGCTGGCGTGCCCGAGGCTCCACCCGCACCTGAGGCCCCGGCGCCGCCTGGAGCTCTGGCTCCAGCCCCACCCGAGGTCTCGGCTCTGCCTCCTTTGATGGAGGGAGAAGAGGACCTAGAATGGGACCCCTTGGGGATCTCCTTGATGGCCCCAAGGGGCCCCTCCAGGGAACTGACTCCTTTGCCCTCGCCCCGGCGCGGTTGATCCCAGCCAGAACCCTGCCTATCGGTGTCCCAGAAAGGGAGAGAACATAGGCGCAGGGGTCGGGTCCCGCCCACCCTGCCCCCCGGCTCGCCTGTGGTCCCCAAGACTCCAGCTCGGCTGTCTCGCGGGTCCCCCGCTGTTGCCTTGTTGGCCACCTGCGGTCCCATCTCCGACACCTCGTCAGCCACCTGTGGGTTCCCCCACTCTGCCTCGTCGTTCACCTGCGGGTCCCTCCGCTGCAGCTCAGCGGTGGACAGCGCCTCCGCCTGCTATGGCTGTGCCGTCGCCTGCTGCGGCTTCCCCTCCCTCCTTGCCTTCGCCGTGGTCCCCTTCTGCTCCCTCCTCGGCCCCTTCATGGTCTGCTCTGGCTCCTGCCTCGCAGCTGCCTGGAGTCCCTCTGGCTTCAGCCTTTTGGTTGCCTGCGGCCCCTCCGGCTGCCGCCCATCGCCCGCTGTGGCTCCCTCGGGCTCCCCTTTGTCCCCCGGCCTTTCCTGTCTGGCCTTCCTTGTCTGTTCCTCATCCCTTTGTCCCTCCAGTCTCCGTTCCTCGTCCCCCTGTGGTTCCCCCCTGGTGTCTCCCTTTCTGGTTTGTCTGTCTGCGTTTCCCGTCTTGTGTCAGGTGTTATCTTACTTCCTGTCCCTGTGCCTGTTCAAGGTGTCTGTTCTGTTCCTGGTCTCCCGTTGATGTTCTTGCTCTTGTTTTCCAGGTCCCGTGTCCCCAGTCTCGTCTCATCCGTCGGGGCAAAGGGACAAAGTTATTGAGAAGTACAAGTCAGGGTTGGGTTATAAAACAATATCCAAATCTTTGATGATTCCCCGGAGCACCATTAAATCCATCATCTTCAATTGGAAAGAAAATGGTACCACAACAAACCTGCCAAGAGAGGGCTGCCTACCAAAACTCACAGACTGGGCAAGGAGGGCATTAATCAGAGAGGCAGCACAGAGACCAAAGGTAACCCTGAAGGAGTTGCAGAGATCCACAGCAGAGACTGAAGTATCTGTACATAGGACCACAATAAGCCGTACACTCCACAGAGATGGGCTTTATGGAAGAGGGGCCAGAAAAAAGCCGTTAAAAATAAGAAGGCACGTTTTGAGTTTGCCAAAAGGCATGTGGGCGACTCCCCAAATGTATGGAGGAAGGTGCTCTAGTCAGATGAGACTAAAATTGAACTTTTCGGCCACCAAGAACACCACCGCCACAGTGAAACATGGTGGTGGGAGCATCATGCTGTAGGGATGTTTTCCAGCAGCAGGGACTGGGAAACTGGTCCAAGTCGAGGGAAATATGGATGGTGCTAAATACAGGGATATTCTTGAGCAAAACCTGTGTCAGTCTGCCTGTGATTTGAGACTGGGACGAAGGTTATCCTTCCAGCAGGACAATTACCCGAAGCATACTGCTAAAGCAACACTTGAGTGGTTTAAGGCAAAATTTTTCAATGTGTTGGAATGGCCTAGTCAAAGTCCAGTCCTGAATCTAATTGAGAATTCTGTGGTCAGGCTTGAAGATTACTGTTCACAAGCGAAATCCATCCAACATGAAGGAGCTAGAGCAGTTTTGCCTTGAGGAATGGGCAAAAATCCCAGTGGCAAGATGTGGCAAGCTCATAGAGACTTATCCAAAGCAACATGCAGCTGTAATTGCCGCAAAAGGTGGCTCTACAAAGTACTGACTTTAGAAGGGGTGAACAGTTATGCACGCTGAAGTTTTCTGTTATTTTGTCCTATTTTTTGTTTGCTTCACAATAAAAAAAGAAATACATCTTCAAAGTTGTAGACATGTTCTGTAAATGAAATGGTGCAAACTCTCAAACAATCAATTTTAATTCCAGGTTGTGAGGCAACAAAACATGAAAAATGCCAAGGGGAGTGAATACTTTTGCAAGGCACTGTAGAAATGCCTCAGGTAGACTGCTTTGAGAAGTTAACATGTCAAGGTGTGTCCACTCCTCAGAATCCCCAGCTTCTCCATAGTGACTCAGACATTTAATTAAAGTGTGAACTCTTTGGGTACCTAGCCCCTGACCACTGAGGATTTTGAGATGTTACTGTGCAGGAAGTTGTAGAGACCAAACCCTCCACTTATTTCACCATATTTGCAGGGCAAACATTCCACTGTAGAGCACACTGGGAATGCTAACCATTCACCATCTGACCAAGTCAAAAACGCTGTGTACAGTAGACATTTAAAATAAGAATTGAGAAATGGGACTTTCAGCCTTATAGAGAGCATCTAATAATTAGTATGAAAGTGAGTATCTCTGCAATACTGCAATACTTAAGGAAAAAAGAAAGTCTTATGAATGGCTTTTTGCTAGGTGTCATAGAAACAGGAATTGCACTTGCACAGAACATTTATTTGTGTAGAAAAAAGCTGAAGGAGTGGTCTGACACATGGAACATTAGAGTCTTTTACCCCTCCTATTGTGATATAATAAAATGCTCTATACTCTATACTAGAGCCCAGCGGCCAGTATTAACCTAGCATAATTAAAATTTCAGTGTTGTTATTTGTTGGTGAGTATCTCAATCAAACTGCCGAAGCCCGTCTCCCCCCTACATTCAACTTTTACCGTTGCCCCCCTCCACCCACTGCCCAGGGGTTAATGTGCCCTTGGGTATGAGCAGATAACATAATAATAAGCAAGAAGCTCTCTCCAGTAGTCTTTGCTTAGACACAGTCATGAATTTACATCTCCAGCAACATGGCAAAGCACCCACCCCAAATTCATGTATCATGTATGTAATGTATGTCTATAATTTATGTACGTAGGTATAATTTACGTATAATGCACGTGATGTATATCCAATCTATGTACATTCTCCCCTCCACCTCCCATCCCCCAATGTCTTGCATGTTTTGGTAAAGCCACAACTCTCTTTTCATTTACAAATATTCCTACACATCATGTTAAGGACAATCAAATTGAACTGAATAGAACTAAAGAGCTACTTCCAAGGAAGTGCAGGTAAAACGCATAACCTTTTCCATTTGCTTTACTAGCTAAATGGCAATAGTCACTAATAAGAGGAGATCATGAGACAGAAGGTCATCATCTAAAACAACTGAAGATAAAAATGAAACTGATCACAGATGAAATATACTTGATCAGTGTCATTATATAAAAACACAGTTCTTGTAGAGAATTTTACAGTCTACATCACATGTTGGTGTGATGCACTCTTTCAGAGTCTCATTTTCAGCTGTTTTCATTTGAAGATGCTTTTCTGAAACATGCAGCTTGTTCTGAGATCTTTCCAGGCCATCTGAAAGCTAAGCTATGTGGAATAGTAACTCTTGATTACGATCTTCACTCACCCATTGTGGTGACCCAAATGTGAACTGGGTAACTTGTTTTCTCTGCTGCTTGAACCCAGCGCCCACCACTCTGTCTGAGCCAAGCCTGGACCCTGCAGGAGTAAAACCCTGAGTCGGACTGGTCCACATGGCGCAGCAGCAGCTGGAACTCATCGAATCCTGTCCGGCTGATCTCCCCAGGGCCCGATCCATTTGCCAACACTCCGTCCTGATTCATATGGGCCAGAATCCTAGACGTATTAGACCCATCTTTGTCAGGTCCAACCAGCCATGTGACCTCCAAACCAATATTCACTTGATTGTTTAGTGCGACAGAGCAGGTCAAGTGAAGAGTATCATGCAAGTTCAGGGTGGCGTTCTTCTCCAAGAAGACTTTCAAAGACTCAGCTGAAACACCAGGGAAAACATCAAGGTAAGTAATTTAAGTGAAGAAAATTGTATTGATGGAATATCATGTTTGTTCTAAATAATCTTTGTCTGTGTTACAGGTATTCGGCAAATTCTGTTAACTGAGTTTTCAGGACAGATTCACTGTTAAGGACCTAAAATGGCACCAAGTACAAAATGACCAGTGATTCAGTGAGGTCACACTCCAGCACCCATCCCCTGTGGCTGCTGCCCATCAGCCACATTCCACCACTTTTAATTAAGAGCTGTGAGCTAACTGACAACAAAGACAGGGTAATGTGATCACCCCAGGCAACAGTGGCTGTGTATGAAGTGGAGGAGGTGGCTGAACACCCACCAGCACAGACACTCCAAAATTCATACTGTTATGCCCGCAAACTTAGTCTGCAACTCTTCCTGCCACTGCAAGCTGAGAAAACACTGAAAATATACAGAGTTCTAGCACATTTTAAGTGAATAAGCATGTATTATACATTTTATTAAGGGGGACTCAGGGGTGGTCACTGCCTAACCCTACCTCTTAGTTGACTCCTTTCCTGCTTGAGGTTCTATATTGTGTAATGACTAATGAGCTTCGGTTTTTAGCTGAGGCTGTGTGTGCGGCCTTGGAGGATTCCTTCTGAGGGTTACCCCACTCATCCGCATGTGTGCTTCCAGTTGACTCCACTTACAGACACGCAATAGCCAAGGCTGGCGGACAGGACTCGGCACTTTATTTCAGTTAAATGCACACAACACACAAACATGCTACCTCTCTTCTTCCTCCCCCCCTCCGCTGGTCTCCCACGCTCGCTCTCAACGCACCACCTCCACCTCCGTCCGGCTGTGTCCGCACATGCATACTCCTCCCACATCACGTGGTTAGCCCTTACATTTACCTCATCATCTATTTAGATTTCCAAAAGGCTTTTGATGTTGTTCCCCACAAGAGGCTCTCACTTAAACTCAAAGCGA